ACATTTGTATATGTGTATATGTATGTTTGTGTATGCACATAACAATATAAAATTTTTTATATATTTTTTTAAACTATGTTTTTGTCATGTTTTTTTATCAGTTTTGATTTTTTATTAGTATTACTTTAATGTTAAATTTTTTTTCTTATTTTTAATCTTTTTTGTTATTGTTATTTTTATTATAATCATCGTTATCGTTATTATTTTTAACTTTATTACTATTTTTCTTATTTTCTTGTTTTCTATTTAAATAATTGTTTTATGTCACTGATAGTTGCAGGCGCGTACTACTAATAACAAAGGGTTCCATGTAAACCTATATTAATAGCCATGTTATCTACCCACTTCTTTCACTAAGAAAAAACTATACAATGAACATGAACCTAAATAATAAACCAAATCTACATTTTAATTTAAGTTCTATAAAAATAAATAAACACACAACAAAATTAACATAATTATTTTTACTTGTGATCTTGATTGCGTAGTATAAATTATAAAATATGAATAATATGATATTAAAAATTATTCAATACAGAGGAAATAATATACAAATAGTTGAAATAGTTCAATAAAATGTTTAAAAACTAAACTTTCAACATTCTTAACATTTTGGTACTTTTTTCACTCATCAAGTCAATGACTTGATCCGGTGTAATGTTAGCCAGGAATTCCCATTCACAGTTCATCAAAAACAATGATTCCAAATTCTCGCGTGTTAAACAACTTCTTAAACGTGTTTTAAGTTTTGAAAACGATCGTTCACGCGTTACTTGAGTAAGAGGAATCGTTAAAAGAAACTTCAAATAATTCATTATACTCTAAGGAATACATATTGAATTCATAAATAATATTTGATACGCATAATAAACATGAGTAACATTTTTTTCACGTACACTTATTTTTATGATTTTCCTAAAAGTATTTAAAATCTTCAAAGCCTGAATCTTCTTGCAAATTGGTTTTATACATCATATGCATCTCTAATATCAGTTTTGGATATTTGAGGCCAGAATTTCACAAACGATAAGAATTTTTCTCCATAACGTTTTGGAATAGTTTTTCTTCTCTCTTAAGGAGGTTCTTATTTTATATCAATGCCTGACTCATTTTCTCAAACTACACTGGATACAAATTCAATGTATATTTTTGCTCCTGCACAGATAAAATTTCTCTTTGGTTTTCTTTTAAAGACTTTATTGTTCTACCAATTTTTCTCCATGCTTTAATATAATCTAGACCAGATGTTTGTAGGTAATCAGATAGAGCAGTAATAAACTTAAAACTTTCAAAAACATCACTGATAATAATACTATATCATAACGGGTAAGTAGACCAAGTAAATTTTCAGCTGTACTTCTTACGCTGTTTGAAAAAAAAATTAGTAACAGAAATTTCACAAAGTGCAAACACAATTTGCACTTATACAATTTGCTTTCTGTTATCAAATTCCAAATGTCATCCAATTCTTGGTTCTTTCATTCCACATATTGATACGACCAAATATCTTAATAACCGCATCATATTTAGGCCGCAATTGAGTTTTACCAATTATTGAATTTAACACATGAGCGTAGCACTATGTATGAAAATACCTTACAAGCGTTTCCTTGAGTTTTACTTGAACTCTTTAAATTGGCCATTGATATTGGCAGCACCATCAAAAGCATCTGCTACACAATTATTTAGGCTAAAGTTATTTTTAATAAATCAAATAAACCCTGCCCTGAAGATGAAATTACTTTGTTTAAAGTTACAACTCGTTCCACAACTTCAATTTTAGACCTGTTGCCTTTAGTTCTTTCACTAGTATACTGCAAAACAAATACACATTGATCATGGGTAAATATATCCAGAGTGGAATCCATAGTAATTGAATAAATACTAGCTGAATTTACTTCTTCAGATATTTTCAATAATAATAATTTACAAATAGTTTTAATAATGTTTGTTACAGTTGTAAGATATATAATATAGTAAACAAATTTCCTTTACCCTTTTTCCCCACTTTTTGCTTGATTTTCACTTTCTACTATTACACTTGGTTATTAATAAAACAGTTTCTAAAAAGTTTCCATGGTTAACTGTATTATTTCAGTTATAAGCTGCGTTATATCCTCTTAGCGGCAATCCTTGTTTTCCGAATGCTTTATTTATTTCAATTATAGGTTTAGCTACCTTTTTTTCTCTTAATTATATTCTTTTTGACTCCTCTGGACTTTGTTAAATAATCCCTCTAAACTTTGTCCCCGATTATCACTAATATAACATTTTGATGCTTCTTCAACTTTTTAGAAAAATAAATCAAACACATAAAACAAAAAAAGAATTGTGTTCTCGACTAATACTTAACTAATTTCTTTTAATTTTTTTCTATAGTCTTTGAAAGTTCACGCTCACTATACTCGGATAAAGTCGTTGTTGATAATGAGCATATCTGTTGACTTAATAATTCTAAGGTAATATATTTCCAGAGTCTGTAGTCTGAAATATGTATATCAGTTGAAACAGATGTAAATATTATTTATCATTATAACTATAATTATTTTATTCATTTTCATCAGGTGTTTACTCATTATTAGTAATATTACTATTTGTAAACAACTTTAAAATGTAACCACCAACTATTTCAGAAATATATTGTTTAATTATATATTTAAAGGTGCATCGATGCCTACTTTTGGCAGATGCCGATTGGTGCTGGCCGATGCATTGGCATCAGCACTAAATTTGAATTTGCACTCTTTTCTTTTTTTATTAATAGGTAAAGGAACCCCTTATGATAAAAAATTGTTCAAAAAATCTTTCGAAACGTTTAGTGGTTGAAGATATGTCTATGGATTTTCATTTATTGAATATATATATATATATATATATATATATATATATATATATATATATATATATATATATATATATATATATATATATATATATATATATATATATTATAAATTTTTAATCCAATTTAATACAATTTTTAATCCAATTTAATACAATAGTATAATAATTTACGACTGAATGTTAACAAAAAAAACAAAAAGAAAACATAGGAAAAAAAAAATCTCAGCGTAATACGACCTAAACATATATATATAAACATATATCCACTGTTTTTAGAGCTTACTCCATTTTTGGATTAATTTAATATTGCTTTTGTTGAGTAGTATTGAAAAATTTTTTTAAATATTTGAAAGTTTTATGATTTTTTTTTGTCTAATTGAAGGTGACGTAAAATTAAAAGGATATAGACTGATTTAAGATTTGTTTTTATATTTATTTGAAATTCTTTCTAAATTTTCAGAAAAATCCAATAACTTAACTGTTTTAAGTTGTCTTATGCTTATAAAAAACGACTCTTAAGTCGTATCAAAAGCAAGCCGTGTTTGTTCTCAGACTTTATTAAGCTGTATTTAGTTTTCTTTACAAAAAGTTAAACCCCTTCACTGCAAAAAATCGCTTTGTTAATTTAACCAAATATGTTTGGTTAGGTAGTTATTGTAAAAACTACAAATATGTTTGGTGAAAAAAGCTAAACTATTTGTGAACTTTACCAAAATGATTTAGTTATTTTAACCAAATTATTTGGTTACATTCTTTATTTGCTTTTTGTATTCACGCATAAAACAACAAAATAATTTGCTAAAATTTACAAAATATATTTGGTTACTTTCACCAAAAGCGCCGCGGGATTGCAAATCTCGAGTGAAAAAACAAAATTTATGTCGCCATTAATTTTTCATTGTTTGTCTACCGACTGCTTTTAATATCACTTTAACTATGATTAACTGTGCTTATTGTAAATATACTGCAAGATCTAGCAATTCGTATTAGTGCCATTTAAAAGTTTTTTATAATAAACATAGTTATGGTGAGAGATTAGTTTGCAGACAGGAAGGTTGTCCGCTAGAATATAATTCTTTCCAAAGTCTTATAAAACATATTGAAAAATCTCATAAAGAAGTTCTTTTAGAACATATTTTGGAAAGCCAAGATTATAAGCCGTGCTGCTCCTCTTCTAGTGACTTCTCTTCAGGTATCCACAGTACAGAATCTGTTAGCATAGTGAATATGAGAAATTTTGGTATTAGGTTTGACAATTGCAATGGTATTTTTGAATACTCTGCCTATTTTATTTCAAAACTGAGAAGTTATCCTAATCTGCCACTAAGCACTACATTGAAAATTGTTGATGCATGTTCAGACTTGATTACATCAATTGTAACAGGAATTAGTAATGAGGCCCAAGTAATTATTGACAAACATGGTCTCCAAATTGATGAATGTAATAATTTCTGCAACAACATCTCGCGCCTTAAAAAACCTTTTCAAGGTTTAGAAAGTTTACATAAACAGACAAAATACTTTGAAAAGAAAGGATATTATATAAAACCAAAATCATACCTAATAGGTCATTTTATAAGCACTCAAAGAATAGCTAAAGGAATAGTTTGCTCGACTTGTATTGCAACAGGACAATATGTTTCATTAAAGCAGTGTCTTGAAGTTTTCCTTTGTCTTCCTGGTGTACTTAATGAAATTAGAAATCATATGAAACCATCTAATAATGGTTTAGTTTCAGACTTTAAAGACGGAAAGTTGTGGCAAAATCATCAATTACGTTTTAAATAGGCTCATTCACAAAATACTCTTTTAGTACCAGTCTTTTGTTTTTTTGATGATTTAGAAACCGCTAATCCACTTGGTTCTCATAGCACTATTCACAAAATTGGAGCATTGTGTACAATTCTAAAATGCATAAAACCACAACATAATTCAAAACTCAATAATATTTTGTTAAGTGCAGTTATAAACTCTTCTGATCGCAGTAAATATTCAAATAAAGATGCATTTTCTATATATACACAAGAAATGACAGAATTAGAAACTAAAGGTTTTACTATAAAAATTGACGAAAACTTTTAAAATATTTGTTGTGCTTGTTCAAATTATTGGTGACAATCTAGATTTAAATGGAGTGTTGGGTTATGTGGAAAGTTTTACTGCTACATACCCATGCAGAATATGCAAAATAATGCGCAAAAACTTTGACTGTACTTTTGTTGAATCGGTTGAGTTACTTAGAACTAAAGAATGTTACGATTATGACGTTTCTTTAAATAATTGTTCTCTTAATGGCATAAAGGAAGAATGTTGTTTTAACAAAATTCCATCATTTCATGTCAATGATAACATTTATTGCGATATTATGCATGATTTATTAGAAGGCATTTGCAAATACTTTTTCCATAAAATGTTAAATTATCTAGTATTTCAACAAAAATTCTTTAATCTTAGTGACATAAGTAGCAGAATAAGAAATTTTTCATATGATCACTCATCAATTCCTTCTTGTCCTACTGAGTTTCAAATAAAAAACGGTTCTATTAATATTGGTGCAATTGAAATGCTCAATTTGGTTCTAAGCTTTCCTTTATTAGTTAGAGATTTAGTTCCTTTTGATGACAACATTTGGGTTATTTTTTTATTGCTAAGGCAAGTTATCCTTTACTTATTTGGCTTGCATTTTAGCAAACCTGATTTGATATACTTTGCTTCTATCATTGCTGAGTTTTTACAAGAATACTGTTATGCATTTAAGTGTGGCTTAACTTTAAAGTTTCATAATCTCATTCATTATTCACGAATTATCAAAATGCTTGGTCCACTAAGTCATATGTAGGTGATTCGATGTGAAGGTAAACTGAGAGATTTTAAGAAAACTGCATCATCTGTAGGGAATTTTAAAAATATTTGTAAAACAGTAGCTATTAGACACCAAATGGACCAGTCAACAAGGTTCATGGCGAAACATGGTTTGAAAAATAATGAATTTAGTGTTGCTAAAACTGAGCCCATTTTACTTTGTCATGTGATTGATGGACAAACTGTTTCAGAACTGATAGGCAACTATGGATTATACAGAGAAATTTTTCAATCAAAAAGTGTTTATGTTAACTTTGCTAACTTTAAAGTTGGTGATGTTGTTATTCATGCAGTTGGAGAATTATATCCTGAATTTTGTATAATCAAACAAATTTTTATATTTGATACTGACTGTTTTTTTTTTATTTGTCAAAAGTTGTTTTTTATATCAGAATGCTATCACTTGCAATCTTTTGACATTGAAACATAATTAATTGTTTTAAATTGCTCTCACTTTGATAGCATTATCTCACCTTGGCCATTAAAACTGCAAAATTTAAATAAAAGTAACTATGTATCATTAATACACAAAGTATAAAGATTGGACTTGGTTTCTTTTATTTTAAAAAACTATTACTTTTATGTAAATATTTGATGTGCTTTATTTTGTTTCTTGAATTTTTAAATAAGCATCTATTTAATATATATATATATATATATATATATATATATATATATATATATATATATATATATATATATATATATATATATATATTATTCATTTAGTCTTCAGGATTGCTTTTTTTTAACAATTATATAATTAATCTCATGCAATAAACTAAAAAATGCATAGAACACTAAAGTAATGAAATATCTTCATATTTTGACTTTTTCTAGATTTATTAAATTTAATAAGTTTTAATTGTTATATATTAAAGTGAATCTAGTTTTATATGTGTTATGTAACATAAAATATAAACATTTATTTGCCTTTTTATAGTGTCATATAAAAGGAAGGATAAAAAAGGAAAAAATCGAATGCAATGTCTCAAAGCAAGTTGTGATTGTGATGAGTACACAAAAGAGAAAGATTTTGATTTGTGTGCTTATTATGATCATGCACCAGTTTTACATTAATGTACAATAATATCATAATTATTTAATCTATATAATTATGCCAATAATATATAAAATACAATTAGTTTGTATCTGTAGAAGCTTGATGCTTAGTATTGTTTTTTTTTAAAAAAAAAAAACTGACATGTAATTCTTTTTTATGTTTTAGTAGAAGATAGTTTTAATCTTATTGAAGATGTTCAGTCAGTTGATTTCACAAAGAGCAATCCAATCCTGAACACTTTATCCAGTACACTTTTTTAATGATTTATCTTGCTTTTACCTAACTAAAATATGTTAGTGGTAAAACTAAATGATAGTAAATCATTATATAGTTAAAACCAAATTAATGTGTGTTACTAGTTTTTAAGTTAAATACAGTTAACATAAAGTCCCAAAAATATATCTATTATTTATAAATAATTTTTAGCTTCTCCCAGTATGTCTAGCATGTTCTTTGAGCCTCAAAATGATGCAAAAGAAAATGAAGATGTTACACTTGGTATATATTATAATTATTTTTTTTATTGTACAATTTATCCTATAATAAGGTAACAGTTGTTAGGGACTTAGGGTGAGTGGTTTAAACATTAAAGGTAAAATTTTTGGTTATGGAAGTTGTTTTTTTTATTAAAAAATTGAAATTTTTTCAATAAAATTTTTAAATATAAGAGTTTACTTGACTATCTAAATTTTTTTAAGTAACTTAACATTTCTCTTACACTTGTTATACTAGTATTACTATTTGCAACTGGTCTGAATAATAATGTTTTTTGATTCTAGAACCAGCTTTTTTAAATGAAAGTGAAAAAGGCTTCAATGTGTGCAGTAATGATTTCATGAGCCCTTTGAAAAAGCATTGTATGTTTCCAGATGCAGTATTGACTAATAAAGTAATTTCTACATCGAAAACCATTGTTCATAAAAGTTGTGCTCTCTTTTAGGTTCTACAATTATTTTTTTTTTAAATACTTTTTTTACTATATTCGAAATTTATGAGTAAAGAAATATTTTAACACTTAGTTGGAATAATTTATTAGATTGTATCACAAGTATAATAATTTTGGTTCTAAAAGATATATTGACCTTAGTAAACCTGGGATATGATTTTTGAATTTAACAGAATGGCTTAGCCCCTATCTTAAAATCTTGCACAGATGGTATGATTGTGTTAAGTGCTACTAATCTAACATTTAGTCTACGTAACAAGTTGGCTGGTATAGTAGTAAACCACGTTATTCAAAAAAGAGGTCTGCAGTAAGTAAACAAATTATTAGATTTATTAATTACTTTTATAATTTTTATATTGTAATTTTATGTTTCAATCTATTATTAATTATATGCCATGGTAGTACAGATTAGAATTTTCATCAGATAGAAGAATTATCTACTTGGGGTGGTTCTTTACAAGCATCAGTCCCACATCAACCACTTTTGTTTACACTTTTTTTTGTTCTTTACAAAGCAACTTTTTTTTTGTAAAGCTGCATTTTTTTTTTTTGCAAGAAGGCTATTATTTTGGGATTGAGAGTTGATATCATAAAATGAACAGCACCCTACAGGTCGAGGAGGCGCTACTTTAAAGACCTCTTCAACCTAGGAAAGTGAATACATAAGAAAGTATTGACAAATTACTTTTAAAGTAGAAGTCACTTGAAATTTTTTTAGAAATCGTCCAACTAATGCAGATATATTTGAATCAGCAAATGCCATTGTTGCACATTTTCCTTCAGAAAAGCTTGTAAGTAACTTTTAATTAAACCCCTTTTTTTAAAGTGCTTTTTATAATTGTTTTTTTTTATAGGAAACATGGTATACTGCACCTACATTTAAAAAAAGTATAGCTAGTGGAAAGCTGACAGAAAAGCTTCGCAACACTTGGCAAAATATTAAATCGGTTGGGATTTTAAAAAGTTCAAATGATCAACAATTAGTTGAAGAACACGATAGCAGTGATGGTATGCTTTATCTTATATTAAATTATTTTAAATAGTAGTTTAAGTGATTTATGTAAAAGAAAGTTTAGAATATTTAGATATTATAAGATGATGAAATGATAAACATTTTATTTTTTATACATTTTTTATCTATTATATATATTTATAAAATTGTGAAAAATTTTTTGGTTCAATTTTTTTAAACATATTATAATTGATATAGAAGAAGCAGTACAAGATGACCTTAATTGGCTAAAGTTTAACAGTCAACCATGGACTGAAGTGTGCCATAAATGACTTCTAAAATTAGGTTGAAAAGTTTTCAATCTGGTAGCAAAGATATTCCAAACTTTAAGCTTCTTTTGGATTTAAAAGCAGATGCATTGGTTAGTATATTAAATATATGTTATATAATGTAAAAATGTTTAACATAGGAAAAAAAATAGAATTAAGAGAAGAGTTTGTTATTTTTTATTAGGTAAATATCGATTTTACGCAATTGAGCATACAAAAGAATTATGTAGACTGTAACAACTTTATGTTTCAGAAAATTCCATTACTTGCAAAACAGTTATTAGGCTTAGTTGCCAAAAAACATTTAATAAAAATTGGTTAGATTTTTATTTAAAAATTATAATTATAGTTTGTGATTAACAATAAAAGTATGCTTCCATATACCAATGACATAACAGGTTTTTCAGATATTATGTTTTATATATATATTATATATATAAATATATATAATATATATATATATATATATATTTTATATATATATATATATATATATATATATATATATATATATATATATATATACATACATACGATACAGAGGTAGAAGATGAGACAGCTGCTCTTTTGGCTATTGTGCGGTTGACATGCTGTAAACGTTCAATACGTTTATCTAAAGACGCAAAAAGAAAGTCTTGGACTCCAAGTGTTAAAGAATGTGGCGAATCATTTCTTTTTCTAGCCAATGTATTTATAATAAACTATTAAAATTTTATATTTAATAATATTAAGGGTGTTATAAAAATTACATTACGTAATGAAAGTTACATTGCGTAATAAAAATTACATTGCTTAATATTTGCTTTTTTTTCAGTCAGTTGAAGATGCTGAGCATTCAATAGAAAACATAAGAATTCTTTATAATGATCTGAAGCTCACACTTCAATCTTTAGTTTATTCTGTACCACCAAACATTGCTGTTGCTGTGTACAACAACCATAAATGGTCATTTCAAACGCCTTTGAAAGCCATGGATTTTTCTTTTAAACTGATTCAGGTGAGTCGAATATTGTTATTGATACAATGTTTGTTACATATTGCATGTTTGAATTTATATAAAATACTAGTATTTTAGCGAGTATTGCATATAGTTGCACTTTTAAAAAATTGTGCTGATTTTTTGCATTACTTTTTGCGAAGTTATTACAAAATTCATGCAAATAAACGCTCTTGTGCTAAAATAATCTTTAAACAAGTATAATTACTCTACGTATGTGATAATTATTTTACAAAGTATAATTTACCATATGAAATTTTTTTGAGATTTGAAAAAGGTGAGGCAAAGTCTTATACCTGCAAACGCACTTTACAATGAGCCCTCATTATCAATTATTTTTCTTTAGGTCTTGAATAAGGAATACAATATTGCGAGTTTTCCAGCTTGGATGTTTTTACAGAAATACATATATTGTTTCAATTGCACCGATTTTGATGTTTCGTGCCCGAAAGCAAGTGAATTAGCATCTGAGTTAAATCTATAAACTTCTTTCGATACATTTCAATTTTAATTTAGATAAAATAAAGCATTTATTTAAAACTATTTGTGTTTTTTTGTTTCTTTTTTTTTTTAATTTAAAGCGTACATTAAAGTTCCATTTTTTCAAAACAAAAATGGAACTTTAATGTACGACAAAAGACAAAATTTATTGTTATACTTTCCCAAATAAAATGAGGAAACTTTACGGGTATTTACCAAAAAACTTGGTTATCTTAACAAAAACATTTGGTGAATATTTATGCACCAAAAAAATTTTGTAAATTTTACCAAATAGATTTGGTGAAAAGCATTTCACAAAATCATTTGGTTAATTTTACAAAATCATTTCGTTAAGTTAACAAAATCGTTTGGTTAAGGTTACAAAATCACGTGGTTAAATTTATAAAACTTTTTACCAAATAATTTGGTAACTTTAACAAAAATATTTGGTGCATAAATATTCACCAAATGTTTTTGTTAAAATAACCAAACTTTTTGTTAAGTTCACAAAACGTTTTTTGCCGTGTAGGAGGCGATCGGTGTTGAAAGTAAAAATTATTTGTTAGTGGTTGTGACGAGCATTGTTACATTTGCTAAGTCATACAGCTCAACAAGCATTGTGTTAATTGATGATTTACAAAATAACATAATAGTTTCTCTTAGGGGTTGTCCATAAATTACGTCACGCTATAAGGGGGAGGGGGTGGTAGTCTTGTGACGACTCATACAGAACTTGCTTCTTAAGTGTTACGATTTTGTGACAAGGGGGAGGGGGAGGTCAAAATCTGTCAAAAAATGCGTGACGTAATTTATGGACAATCCCTTATAACTCAGATAGTTTAATAAATTTCGCTTCTTTGTCGCTTTTTTATCGCTTCTTTGATTGATTTTTGCTTAAGAGAGTTTCATGAGTTCAAAATTTGTACATTAAAAATATTTTAGATTTAAAAGACTCAGTATCCCTAATAAAGAGTATGCAAAAATGAACGACAACGACGTCATTGGTACAAAAGACGCTGTAATAAAAAACTATTTGAAAAAAACGGAATTCCTTGAATACCTTCAATGCCAGCAAATTTATTACCAGTTACCTTTTAAGGAAAAGTAGTTTAAAATTTGAATAAAATTTAAAAATATTTATAATGTTGAACGAAATGACTAGAATAGAAAAATATTACAAAAAAAGTAAAAAAAAAGTAAAAAATCATATTTTTTTTAATAATGACCATAAACCCTCAAACATCACTAAGTCTTGTTTAAAAAATTGTATTCACTGAATAATAAAAAAACAAAATCTTATATATTATTGCTGAACTTAACAGTAGGGACCCCTCTCAACAATAGTCTCTCAGCACGTTTTTCATATACAGATATATAATATTTTTCATATACAGATAATTTTTCATATACAGATATATAAATATAGTAACAATGTAAAAATTCCATTTTGGATAGCCCTACGTGCAAAAATCTGTCTTAAAAAAAAAAGTCTTTAGCATAACTTGAGTTTGCGAGCTCAACTCATGCTGATTATTAATGTACTTGAGTTTGCGAGCTCAACTCATGCTGATTATTAATGTATAATATGAGAAAACTTTTTTTTTTTATTTAAAAATTTTATTTTTACAACAAAAATCTTTTTTGTTGTAAAAATTGACGTGTCTATTGCCGGTTATCAAAAACAAGAGGAGCACTACCTTGAAAATAAAGGTCGTTTTTTTAACATTGAATATAAGGCAAAAGAAGGATGCTGAAGAACATGCACTAGTTACTACCTTGATACGTTAAAGAAATGATGTTCTTTTGTTGTAAGCAATAAACACGGAGACTCTTCATTCCTATCTTGAGTAACCTTTAGATCTTTGCAGTACATACCTCTAGTGTTTCAGAGGAGCATGTCTTTAACCACAAAGGCACTATGTTCTTATTGGAACAGTCTTTTAACAAATTTGATCATTTGCAAAAGCATAAAAAAATATTTATTTCAAATGTAATTTATACATGCAATAAGATTTTAAACAGTATAATGCTTATTTACAAACTTTGTTACGACGGTAGAGCCAAATAGTTAAACCCATTATTACTTACAAGCGTAACTTTTAAAACACTCCTATTTAAATTAAAAAAAACAACCTTTATATCAAAAAGTAAATACAACCAGGGTCTATTACAATATAAATATGTTAACCATATTTACATGTTTATTTAATGTATTACTTTATAGTTATATTATTGTAATATTGAATTATGTTGTGCTTAGTTTATTACATTATTATTGTAAAATTGTCTTAAAAATTATCAAAAGCTATTAAATATTTGTTGAAGGTAAAATATATGAACCACTAGAAGCGCCAAGAGTAATCACATTGCGTGTGATAAATAATTGAATAAATAGATCATTTTTATCTATTTTGCTGTACCATACGAAATTGAGAAACTTTTTCCTCTTTAACATATATTTTCAGCTCCCCCCCCCCCCCAACTTATATATATATATATATATATATTATAATAACTTATAATATATATATATATATATATATATATATATATATATATATATATATATATATATATATATATATATATATATATATATTAAATATTTAACAAATTTTATACCTTTAAAACGCCGAATATATATTTTTTATTTTCAAATTAGTTTACTTCTTGAAAAATAATAAATTTAGAACGTGGAATAGAATAAAAAACTTTTCTATGTTAATACTGGTGTCAAAGATATTAGTGTGGACGAAAAGATGAAAAGATATATATATATATATATATATATATATATATATATATATATATATATATATATATATATATATATATATATATATATATATATATATATATATATATATATATATATATATATATATATATATATATATATATATATATATATATATATATATATATATATATAACAATTAGACGTTATTACCTCTAATCTGGTAGAATAAACTTTGACAATAAAGTTAAAATTAAATTTGTAGCATTGACTCAAAACAATTAAGATTTATTACCATATTTGAAATTCTATTATCAAATCCTGTATGTAATAATTTATTTTTTTATTTTATAATTCTATTGCCACCACATTCTGAATGACTTTGATTTTTAAGTGACATTTTTGGGTACTTTGATTCAACATGTTTTATGAAAAAGCTAAATTACGTTACAATTTAAATGCTTATTCAACGTTTCAATTCATCACGATTTAGTGTTCCAAAATAAATGTCAATTCAACGTTGAAATCTCGACACTTTAAAGATTGTAACGCTTGATCTACGCTGCGCCCTCAACTAAACGTTGTTTCAAAGTTGTCATGTTAGCTAGGTAACTATTTTCGTAGCAGGCTATATATATTTTTTTCGAGCCAATAATTATTTTCGTAATAAAAAATACTTTATTTTTTAAATATTTTACACAAAATTAAGAAAAAAAATCCAAGCATAGTTTAATCACATAAATCACGTTGAATTCCTTTTAACAACCATTCACACTTGTGAGAATAACAATTTTTAAAAGAGTATTCGGTAAAAATTGTTATAAATTCTACAGAGTATTAGATTTTAACAAACTCTATTGAAGTTTTATTATTTAAACTCTATTATTTTATTTTTATTATTCTCTATTTTATTATTTTATTTTTCTCTATTTTATTATCTAAACTCTATTAAGGTTTGATAGCAGATCAAGTCAAACACATGAAAAACTTTTTATAGGGGCTATTTTATAGGGGCTGTATTTGGTGTTCTTTCGTGACAATAGGATTACTTTTCGAATAAGTTTGTTTAATAATTATATAACTATAGGACATTTTGTTCATTTTTACACAAAAAATATGGAAATGCTTGGTTCACAAAGACAATAGGAATATTTATCTAATATTTATTATTTATAAAGATATTGAAAACAAAAAATGGCTTAAAAATAAAGAAAAAGAAAGCCGAGTTAGAACTTTTAAAGAAAAACACAAAACAGTATGAATCTAAGTTGAAAAAAAGACAGAGATTGAAAAGATTGTAAAAAGATTTAAAAAAGAAACAGTATTAATATATTATTTTATCTTTAATTACCAATTTTAATTTGAAAAACTTTGTTTTTATTGTAAAACTCAGCCATTTATCTCTTTTTATGTATGTTGTTCATTATATGACTTACTTTTAGAGCTGCTAGCTCGAACAAGTTCGAACGTTTGAACTTTACGCCAAAATTTTAACGTTCAGGTTCAAACTTTTTTCGCTTAAAAGTTGTTAACACACATACATACCCATATACACATATTTATACACATATGCACACATTTATACACACATGCATACGCACATACACATTTAATTATTGTACAAGGACGACAAATAAGCTGTACATAAATGTAAGATTCTTAAAAAAAAAGAAAAAAATAAAAAATATAATTTTTATTTTAAACTTTTTATATATCATTTTAAATAGTCTTATTAAAAAAGAGTATTTTTTAATAAGACTATTAACAGTGATATATTGCTTTTATTGATTTTATTATTCTAGTAGCTATCCAAATAGTGTTTTTTTAATTTGTTGAGAAAAATATATCAAGAAGTTGAGTTTTCAGTTTTAAAAGAATGAGGGAGATTGTTCCAAGCATTGGTACACTGATGTTTAATTGATTCGCTGCCTATTTGAAGGAAAAAATTCTTGAAGAAAATCAGAAGTTTATCATGAAGATAATCCCATGCAAATAAACAATTTAAAAAAGTACTATTGTCGTTCAGCCTAAGGATTTTTGATAATTTATACAGCAGGGAAACATTGTCAAATAGGAAATTTTGAAAGTGAATAATTTTAAGGATTTTGTTTTGAAGTAAACTAGTTGGTTTAAGGAACTTTTTTTACCCCAAATCTGACACGCATATCTAAGGCGCGTTCCAAATATGGCATGATAAATACTCATTAGTGTTTCAAATTTACGTTATGTCTGATCTTGGCTAACATTCTAACTGATCAACTTAGCTTAGTCTGTAAGTAGGTTTGATGATACTTAAAAGAAAGACTCACATCCAGCCAAACTC